TGAGATGGCACGTTGATTCAGCAGATCCGCGTCCTCAGGCAACCCAGGTCTCCGTGGGGGCCCGTTACCCGACCAGAACAAAGCGCCGGCCATTTCCCTGTCATAGGGCGCGACGCGTGGGGTCAATTGTGACGGCAGGCCCACTGACATCACTCATATTCCCGCATGGTCGTATGGTACCTCTTGCAGCACGCGTTCCGACCTATGTCTGTAAGTTCTCTCGTCACCAAGTGGCCGCGCGGATTAATCACGCTCGGGTTTCATCACCAAGCATCGTGTCGGATCCCATGGTTCTCTCGGGCTCAGTGTCCCTACAACGACGCGGACTCGGCGCGAAGGCGATCTACACCCGCATCGCCGACAATTCGTGCGTCTGTGTTTGGTGCACGCTGACCAACGGTGCTTCCTGTCGTCGATAAGGAACCACGGTCCAGGCCCGGGGGCGAGAGCGGGTTCTGGTTTGGAGGGGGATGGTGGTGAGGGGTCGGGTGCTGGTGCCGGTTCTAATGGCCGTCCCCGTCGCCGTGGCAAGCGTGCGGCTGCAGCTGCGGCTGCGGCTACGGCCAAGGAGGGGAAAGATGGGGATGGCTGGGATGACTGGCAGGGGCTGGTGAAGGATGGGTATGAGACGGTAGAGGGCGAGGTGCTGGATCCCTGGCTCTTGAGGACCATGGCCGATAGGAAGAAGCGGTCCCAGGGGGCGTTTGTGCATATGGCGGAAAGGAAAAAGGGTCGTGGGGAATGGGCCATCAATGAGGACCAGTCTGCCGTGTTTCTGATGCCGGGTTGCTATGATCCCACGCTGGTGGGCGAGGACAGCAGGAAGAACGCGCCTGGGGCCTTGACGGCGGCGGCTATGGCTGGTGTGGAAACCGTTGGCCATGCAGCTAAGCGCTGGGTAAATTGTAGCCGGTAGGCGGCGTAGGAATGCTTGCCAATTACTAGACCGCTAAGGGCAGAAATCAAAAGCCCCATCACCGGCCGGTTCTCTTACTCCCCGGCCGCCGTGTTCATTGCTATTCCGTTGGTATATTTCCATATTTGTACGGTTTATTTTGCATTACAGGAAGCTGTCCGTCCATCTTGATGTCTCTCTATCTCAGACCGTTCCAGAAGTGTTAATGCTCGCTTGAGTTCACGTGGTGGCCCAGAATCGGACTTTATATTAACCTCTCTCAAAGACCTTCTCCTGAACGTGTGCACAAGCTAGACTTTCAACGGCTTGCCAAAGAGTAGGCCAGTGCGCCCATCCGGGTGTTAGTCAAACCGCGGAGAAAGGGTGCACCTATTCTAACTCTGAAATACCGTTCTCACCATCGCAGAAGTAGCCAAACTAAAGTATAGTTGCATCAGTCTATATTCACCCCTTCTAATTTCAAAAGCAGTTGATGTGACGCCCCCAAGACTCGCTCTAATTAATCTTCTATTGACAAAATTGTCGAATGACAATGGCCAGTTTCCCTGAGTTCCGTTGCTTCGAAGAAAACAACTCCTTCCTGCCCTCTACCGATAACCCCGTCGTCTCTCCTCTAGATATGAAGGCACAGCTTCTTCTGGGTGCTGTAGAGTAAAGTGCTGCCGTGCAAGATCCCGCCTCCTTGAATTGCGTCCGCAGATTGAGCAGGGAAAAATCTCAGCCTGGGCGTTATGCGTTTTCTTGTGTTTGGACAGCCCGGATACCGAACGGACCTCGTGTCCACACTCCTCGCAGCGGTAGACGCGCCTGGGGCGATCTGGTTAACATCTGACGTCTGATCCCAGACCTTCGAAAACTCACTGCTTCTTCTTCGCCGGCCCATTCTCGTCCACGTGTCTCTCTGGAGGTTCGCGGCGTTTGCTTTGTTGTCCAGGGCCTCTTTGGTGTGTAGGCTTGTTGTCGCACGCTTTCATCGAGTCAGAAGACTCCCCAAATATCCAGCGGATAAACTTGGGCTGTCGGTTCCCGCCTGTCAAGATCTCCTAGGCCTTCATTAGCCACTTCCCAAGGAGCTGAAGGCAAATTCTAGAATCACCTTACCTTGGATATTGCGACTAAGTAGTCTTGGACCTCAACTTTGGTCCCGAACAAGCCGAGCACGACGAATTTCTTAGCCACAGCCAGCAAGGCTAGAAATTCGTCGTCGTCCGCCCCGGTCTTTTTCAGTGGATCGAAAAACTCCCTCCTAAGCCTCCTCTCAACTTTGGAGCGCTCGTTGGCCCCGCCCGACCCAGTCCTGCTTCGTGCTGCTGTCATGCCGCTACCGGACAACAAGTAGAAGCCCTGTCCGGAATCGCTGGCAAAAACTTCAACAGCGAGAAACGTGATCGTGTTTCGTAGGTTGGTAGCCTTGCAGTCGGAAACTTCGTCGGTCACCGGGAAGCGATAAAGGCGCCGGCTACAGGAAGGAGAGCTCGTTGAAGGAAGCGAGGGCATCGGTGTTTGGCAGCGAGGAGAGGGATGTGCTGGTGCCGGAGGCCAGCCTTCCCATGGGGAGTGGTAGAAAGGTGGAGGGTTGTATCCGGGGATGGGTTGATCAGGGGGGCAAAATTTGGAAAGTTCTCGAGGATCGATATCGTTTCGGGGCACGTAGGAATATCCACCGTCGACGTGGCGGAGATGAGAGAAGCCGTATGCCCCTGGGGTGCAGTTCGCCCATAACTCCAGAGTATTCCCTCCCAGGGCGGTAGCTGGGGGCCTGGTGTCATCTGCGGGGAACGCATCCTGGGAAACCTGGCCCATCGCGGCGGCTCCAGGGGGAAGATGTAATGTATTGTCTTGGCCTTCTGGCAAATCGATCCCCTCCATAAAGTAAGGGCCGGGCGCAAACTGTTCCGGCCTAGTCGAAGAGGTATAGCTGGACGGCCACATTTCGGATGCCAAGGCGTCAAAGTCGCTTCGTTCATGCAGGTTTTCGATACCCTCTTTCCATTGTTGCAACCCCGACAGCACTTGGGTCTCTTCCATTCGCTTTTGGCCCACCAGGATCTGGGACATGGCGTGGGATACGCAGGCAACAGCGAAGACTTCCTCAAGAGTGACTGGAGGTAGGCCCTCTGAGAGATCGCGGCATACCAACATCCCATCATGTGCTAACTCTTTGGAGTTTCGAAAATGGCAGCGAAGCCTACGAGTTGCAGGTGAAGTTGACTTGGACGACACATCGTTGAGGCGTTGGAACTCGGCCTCTATGGTTTCCCTGAGTAATCTCACCCCTGTCAAAGCCTTGCTAGCAGCCCCCATCTTTTCGGTTGGGGGGTTGGGTTTCGGTGTATCATGGAGCGACTCGGACGGATCGGCGTATGCCGGTAATCCATCACTGTCATGTTGAAGACGTCAGCATAAACGAGCATCGGCCGGGCTTACCAATGAAGTGGATAATTTGCAGCATCAGCAATAGGTAGGTATATGTACTCACCCATGTGGGGGGGTTGAGTGTAGGATATTATTAGGATGATTAAACAGAGGATCGACACCGCTCGACTGGATGGCTTTTCCTCTGTGCCAAGAAGATACATCGTCGTCGCTGTGATCTTTCTCGGCCTTGTCTAAAAACGTTAAGCCTGCGACTACGCCGTCGATCTCTGCGAGTGCTCGTTTTCTCCGTTCATCAAATCTGTCTCCCTCGACGGAAGCGGTAAAGGGTCGGTCAGGGTCGGAAAGATGGGCCTGCACCCGAAGGGTGCTGAGACTGCTGTGCAGCCACCACTCCATGGCGCCCCTTACTGTGGTCCCATTGGTTCGGGTGTTGGGCTGCCCAGCTAGACGACAGGGGACGGCCCGAGGAATAGGACATGGTTTCGGTGTGATGATCGGTGAGATGACGGGAAAGCAAGATAAGTTGCAACCAGGCACCGGATGCCACTCGACAAACTTAAGGGCGAATACCCTCGACATTTGGACATGAACATACATGAGGGCACTGGGGGGCATCAGGGGCAGGGCAACCATCGATCCGACTGCCCCTTTGGGGATTTGTCCAACCACATGCACCCAGTCAGATCGCCCTACGCTGTTCCGCTGCCCTTGTGTGTTGCGTGGCTTATCCTGCCACGTTTTTTCCATCACATTTGTCCTGTGAGTTTTTCCATCGCATTTGTCCTGGAGTTTTTTCCTTTCCCACTTGTCCTGTCTCGCTTGGCCGTTTGTCCTGCGGCCATCCCCTCTTCCTATCCAGAAAAGCGGTGAAACAAGCAGAAGCGGGCGTTCTCAGGTTGGCTGCATTCTTCCACTCAGGGGCTCCCGCCAAGCCCAACAACGCCCCCCTCTTCCCCCTAAGGCTGCCTCGCCGCAGCAGCACCACCACTCTCACCACCACCCCTCTCCATCTCCTCCCTCACCCTCGCATCACAAACCCCCGGAAACGCACAATCGCACCCGATCTCATCCCCGCGCCGGACGCTGCGCATCGTGATCGAGTACCGGCCCTGTCTCGGCACGGCCTCCCCACTATCGCCGATCACGTCGGTCTTGCGCGGCCGGATCGCGTGCGTGTAGCCGTACCGCGCGGCACCCGTCATCAGCAGCAACGATCGCGCGGGGAGCAGGATCTCCCAGGTTGGGTGGTGGTCGGAGGGGTCGGAGGGTGGGAGGGTTTGGGGTTGTGGTGGTTCTTGGGAGGTGGTGGTGGCGGAAGGGGGGGAGGGGGGGTTGGTGGTGGTATTTTGTTGTTGTTGTTGTTGCTGCTGCTTCTGCTGCTGCTGCACCGATCGCTTGGGGAGGCGCATCTTGCGCGCGTCGTTGGCGCCGGACATGCGGAACTGCATTGGCACGGCGCTGCCAAAGGACAGGCTGTACAGGGCCTCGCCGAACATGGAATGGGTGTCGACGTGCGGGGGGATGCCGCTGCCGGGCGGGTAGTACTGCACGGTGAACTGGTCGGGGAGGGGGTTTTGGATGGGCAGGTGCGGGAGGAAGTTCGTGATGTAGTCCGGGACGGGAGTGAAGCGGGTGTCTGATGCTCCGAAGGTGGTGTAGTCGAAATGGTAGCCGAAATGCTGACTGATGCGCTTCCTCAAGTTCCCTTGGATTTCTGTGAGCGGGTCTTGGGCGTGAAAAGCCTCAATCATGGTCGCCTCGTCATTTTGGGTGATGAAATCGTGGATCAGCATTAGCCCGATATCGTCCCATCGTAATATGTTGGGGTTTGAAGGGTCAACCGTGGGTGTGGGTGCGGGTGTGCTGTGCAATATTGTCATTGTCACGGTGAAGTCGAAGGTGAAGTTGAAGTGGAAGTGGGACTTGGGAGTCTGAGTTCAACAGCACCCGCTCACAACCTGGAAAATTTACACCGCAAGAAGGGAACTCTCACTTCAAGGGTTAGGGTAAACTGAGTAGTCACATCTAGCTTGAGCCCTAACTCTCTAGGCGTTCTAGGCGAGCCCCTGAATGCAATGACAAGAAGGGTGCGAGGACAAGACACCTCAAAGATAGCAAGTGAGGGTACGAGGAATAACAAAGACGTTATGTTAATTCGTTACTTTGAAGAGTCTTAGCTCTCCAGAAGATACCTCGACACAGAGGCTAAGAATATGATCAGTTCAATGATGAAATGTCTACTCTCAACCTGAGAAGTTGAGGTGCTGCAAGAACAAACCTGTTTGACCCCCTTGGTTGTCAAGTCAAAAAGCCAAATCATATATCCTGCCCAAGGTAAGAGGAACTGACCATCCAATCTATTTAAACATCTCTAATTCCATGTTTCGCACCAGTCGGCCTGATACCCTCACACTTTGCTCTCGAAACCAAACAAGTAATACCGACCCTCATACTTGTAGTTAGGCAGGCGGTACTAGTAAGCAAAAAAAATTAAGAAATCCACACCAAAACAACAAGAAATCACGTCGCTAAGCCTTCCTATTGTGCGGGCCTTACTATGTACGAGCCAGCGAACGGCTACCGCCCTGGCGGATTCCACCCCGTCCTAATCGGTGACGTCCTAAATGGGCATTTCAAAGTGGCCAACAAGCTAGGGTTCAGCACAAAAGCAACCGTGGGGCTTTGTAGGGATCTGGCATCGGGTGAATGGCGGGCTATCAAGATCTATGCTGCCGAATCATCCCACGAGAATCTTGCCAGCGCGAAAGCTCAGGCAACCTTACATCTAACCGCCTCACTCGAGCACTTCTGGGTTGTCGGGCCCAACGGCCGCCATCTATGCGCCGTCCAGCGCCTAGTGGGGCCCTCGATAGCGTTGGCACCCTACCATTACGGAGAGCGGCCCTTGTTCCTCGGAGATCTCTGCCGACAGATGGCCACGGCGGTGAGCTCGTTCCATAAACAAGGGCTTTACCACGGCCGCCTTCACCCCGACAATATCCGATTTGTGGTTGACGACACCATCCACGAGTTGACCGAAGAGAAAATGAACAGGGTGATCGACTATCCGTATACCTCTGAAGGCTCAGCCGACCTTATCAACAAGGACGCCAACCTCTCCCTGTCCGCTAACGTACCCAAATACCTCGTCTCCCCGGCCGCGCTCGACTTCTCAGGCAGCCGTCTGAGTGACAGCGACGACGACGACTACCGCGGACCGTACGTCACGCCCTTCATCGCCCTCGCCGACCTCGACGCCTGCACCCAGCACCCCCCCAACAACAATACCACCACCACCACCCCCACCACCCCCGCTCCCCCCTTCAAACCCACCCTCCACCCCAGCAGCTACACCCCCCCGGAAACCTGGGCCACCACCCTCTCCCCCAACCCCCTCCTCACCACGTCCACCGACACCCACCCCACCACCCCTTCCCCGCCACCCTCGCCGCCGCCGCCGAACATCTGGGCCCTCGCGGTGGGCATGTACGCCACGGTCTGCGCCACCGAAGTGGTTCGGCGACGTCGGCGAGCACGTGATTTCCTGCGTGACGGCCTGCTTGGGCAAGGCGCCAGGGCGAGGCGGTTACGTGGTGGAGGGGCAGTGGGGCGGTGCCGGAGGGGGCGTTTGAGGAGCCGCTGGTGAAGGTGCTGGAGCGGGTGAGGCGAAGAAGGAGGGCGTTGAGGGGGGTGGGGGAGGAGGGGTTTGGTGGTGGTGGATGTGCTGGAGGAGTTTCTGTGGGTGAGGGGAGGTGTGGGGGGGTGTGGAGGAGGTGGAGGACACGGAGGAATGGTGGTTGGGGTTGTGGGAGCGGGGGTTGGATCCTAGTTGTAAGAGGAGTATGGAGAGGGAAGATGTTCGGTTGTTTGCAGATCTGTTGGAGAAGATGTTGAGGTGGCGGCCGGAGGAGAGGGCGAGTATCGAGGAGGTGCTGGAGCATCCGTGGATTCGGGATGGGGCGGGGTTGGAGTCGGATCCGGCTTATCGTCCCGTCCCTACTCTCCATGTTACCCCTTGCAGTTAGTTAAAACGTAAAATCACTCTTTTCTCCCTTGTAGTTCGAACTGCACTTTCCTTTGCTGTGAGCCGTTGCTTGTGAATATCGATATGTCTCATCTGACAGATAATTCCGCTTTTTGATAGGAGTAGAATGCTGCAAGAGATGGATGGTATATCCACCATCCATTCAATTTCCAAAGGGTTCCCGATGAGGATCGGTTCCGTTTTCTTTTGGCTTTCAACCACTCCACACATGATAGGAGGAAAGGAACTAAGGAGCAACACTCGTTGAGAACCGAGGCACGGTAGGAGAATGACACTGGCACTGTTGTGCCACTTTTCAACCTCCACTGCGGTAGAAAAGCAACTCCCACTTGAGCACGGGGCATCCTTCGGGGGTTGTGGCCTCGCCAATCACAAGGCGGGACGCGGTTGATGTCATCCCTCGGTTTCCCAAGGCGTCGGCCCGCAGCAAGGCTATCATGATATTAGCTGAAAGCTTTCCAGGTGCGACGCCACACGACGGGGGCGTGGGGGTGAAGTTGGTTCCGGGCCGTCCCGTTTGTCCTCCCACATCCCGCCGCGGTCATGGATTCTGCCCATCCATCCCCTTCACATTCTCTTGTGCTTGTGTCCCGGCTCCTGTCCTTTTGAAGAGCACAACCACCGATCCCCGGTCTCCCCTCAGCATTCACGTCAGGTCTTTTCGATAAGTCGCGGATGACAAAAGTTGCCTCATCGTGAATAGTTGATACCTGTCTTTGACAATGAGCAGATGAATGTCCACAAAACTTGAGCCCCGTCCGTTTCGATGAACCTTTCCGTCGTAAATGGTCGACTCAATTGAACTCTGCGCACGCGTTCTATTAAACGACAAGTGAACAAAAAATAAACTGCAATGTAGCCACCCAAAGTCGGTCAGCAATGACCCAACCCATAACCATGCCGCCCCAACTTTTCCCGTTTTGCGTCGTCCAGCTCTAGTAAATGAGACCGCCGCCCCAGCCTGTAACCCGCACTGCCTACATGCCACCTCTGCCCACACACAACCCCTACCCCCTAACCCTCGCCACAATAACCGAGTTCACCACCTGCCCATACGGATGCACCACGACACAGCACTCCAACCGCTTCAGCAACCCCTCCGTCGCCAGATCCACCTCGGGATACAAACACGTCCGCAGCCCCCAACTGCTCCGCACCACCAACAGCGCCCCGGGCCGCATGCGGTCGACCACCTGCAGCACGATGCGCTCCTTTTCGGCCTGGGTGATGCCGACCAGCGCGGCCAGGTACACGACGTCGAACTCGGCCAGGTCCTTGTCGGCGGCGGTGGCCTCGGCGCAGATGAACTCCATGCCGCGGCCGGCCTCGCCGAGCGCGAGCGAGAGGGTGAGGGAGGCGGCGATGGCGGCCGAGTCGTAGTCGACGTTGAGGATTACGGGTTGTTGTGGGGGGTTGGTATTGGGGTTGGGGTTGGGGTCGGGGTCGGGGGCCGCCGGAGAGGGCTGTCACGAGGGCGTCTTGTTTGAGGGCTTGGAGGAGGCAGAGGGAGGTTAGGGGGAGGGGGCCGGAGCCGATGAAGGCGACGTGGCGGGGGGTGGTTTTGGTGGCGGAGAGAATGGAGCAGAGCTCGAGGCGGGTGAGGTCTTGGTAGTTTTCGTAGTAGGGGAAGGTTTTGAGGCGGGCGAGAACCTCGTCGGGGGTGCCCTTGGTGGAGAGGATGTGCTCGGCCCAGTGCAGCTCGAGGCAAGACTCGGCCTGGGCACAGATCTGGCGGAGCGAGGGGAGAACGGCCTGCACGCGGGCGTGGGAGAGGACCTATGTGCGCATGTCAGCTGTGGCGGCCGTGGTGCTGGTAATGCGGCCTGAGGGTGGGGGTACCCTGTCAACGACTTCCCGGTCGTGGATCTCGGAGCAGACCGACACGAGGTTACCAAGCAGTTTGTTGATGGCGTTGCCCGGCCGGAAGTGAGGGAGCTTGAGCAGATCGGAATGGGTCTCAACGATGGTACGGACGAGCCACTGGACTTTTTCGGTCCTGGCGTCGGCTAATTGGTCGTGGAGGATGTCGGCCTTCTCAACGATGGCGAGGGAGTCGTGGGAGGCGCAGGGACAGGGTTCCATTTTTGCTGTAGGGCTACCGAAACGCAGCCACGAAGTAAAAAGAGACATCATCCTGGAGGAAGGGGTGCCCTGGATTTCCAGGGAGAGTCGATCGAGTATTTAACGGTTTTCGACGTTGGACGGGTTTGGGTCTTGGGATCCAGGGGCTGTCGGTCAACACAACCAACACTGCTGCACTAGGCCACGCCGGCGTCAATCCGTCACAGGTTGATGTGTCAGGGAGGCAGAAAGAGAGAACAAAGGAACGAAGGAAGGGTGGGAAAAGACAAACAAGGGCCGAGATGACTGGCTATATTTCCTGTGGCCTCCACGCTTTGCCCGCGCATCCCACGGCAATGGGTAGGTAATGGGTAATGGGCAATGGGCAATGGGCAATGGGGGGGGGTCCCGTCGCAATGGGGGGGTCCCGTCTGAGTGGCAGGGCTGGTTACTCACACTTGCTGGCGTTCCATCCCACGCGAACGCGGCATTTTGTGGTGCCCACATTCGGCGCCCGACTCCCGAGTGTCTGCCCAATTCGACGATGGGATGCGGAACGCTGCAGGGCTGGTGCAGGGCGGAATGGGGACTGGGCAGTCAGTGGGTTCACTAAGGGTTGCAGCTCCATGGGTCCATGGGGGGACCCGTTAAGGTGTGCTTGTCACTCTTGTCACTCTTGTCAACTTGCCAAACTGCTGGCAGTGCTGTTGTGCTGTTGGCAGTTGGCAAGTTGACTGTCAAACAGTCAAACTGGTACCTAAGGCAAGGTACCTCTCTGTTGTTGGCCGTACTTCGGAGGGGGACGGGACGGGCCATCAAGGTTCTCGGCCATCAGGGTTCTCGCCAAATTGTGAAATTGTCGAATTTGGAAACTGTGAAGCGGCGCAACTGCCAACAGGGGAGGGCGCCTGTCTGAGTGGACTGGGGTCCAAGCGGCCCCGTTATCAGATCATCTCGTTGATCTGTGTGGAGCCCATCAAGGTTCTCAATCTCGGTGTGTGCGTGTGCCGTGCCCAGAGCTACCCGACTGCCCCTTCCCGCCCCTTCCCGCCCCTGCTACTGATTCCCGTCGTATGTTCCGAAGTTTGTGTGCCTTCTTTGACGCAATCTAATTTCCGGGATCGGGCATCCAGCGGTGAGCCGAGCATTCCATGGAGCCAGGCTGCTCTAAAAGCGAGACACGGTTGCCTCACACGGCTTTGAGGCGTTACTTTTAAACTTGTCTTGTAATTCTGTCGGGCCCGATTTCGCATCTTTGGCCGTTTTACACGCTTTTAATCTCTCCACTTTCTCCATTTCTCCACTGTTCCAGGCCTCTCGAGCCCCGAGTCCCGTCTCCCATTTCGAGTCCCACTCAGTCAAAATCCGGCCTTTCTCGACTCCTCGCGTGCTTCCTCCATCATCCATTCCCACCATCTCTTTTCCACGCCTGCACCGTAGTGAGAGGTAGACAGCCACAACCACCGCCATGGCTGTCGGGATCCTGCCGGGCCAGGTCAACGGCTGGCCTCCGAAATGTAGCTTCGACTCGGACACAGACTCGACCTATCCGCCTCTCCACACTCCACCCTCGCCTTTGAGCGCCTTTAACGGTAAGTCAAACTTTATGCCGAACATGAAGAGTATCTGTTAACGTAGGATAGAACCGAGCAGCCTCTCCCGTCCCTTCTTCTGGGAGATCATTCCACTCTGCGAATTGTACTCGATCGCTCACATCATCCTCCTGCCCAGCTCACTGCGGCTTTCATATAACCAATCGCCGCCGCGTACCGGCTCCAACAACGCCAACGGGGTCAATGGCACCAATGGCCACCAGACTCGTTCGGAGCCTCCCTCTCGTTTCATGAAACGCTCTCACAAACCTCGGCCTCGGCCCATCCAATTGGACCCATGCCGGAGTCTCGGTTTTCACAGCCATTCTCCCCGACGGCAGACGGCTATGTCGCCCGCTCCGACTTTTTGCGACTCCGTCTCCAAGATTTTCCCTTCTCCATCTCCAAGATTCAAGAATGCGTAGCTGCGCCCAAGAAGTACACGGCATGCAGGTTGTCCTCGTCGTCCGTCAACTCGGAGGACGGATTGGCCAATCTCATCGAGCAGGCAGCGGCCGTCATCCAATGGGGTGACCTGGAAGCCTCGGTCTCCATCCTCAACCTCCAGCACTACCTTCTCGGACTCACCCACGAGCTGCGGGATCGTCTCAACAATGCCCCCTGGCTCACCCCGCACCCTATCCCTCGCAAGCGGCTCGCTCTGATAAGAGGCCGACCCAACCTCACCGCCGGCGGGCCCATCTACCGCGCAGCCCGCGCCCTAAACCTCGACCTTGTCATCATCGATGACGAAGGCCACTGGCTACAGCCCGATACCGACGACAACCGCTTGCACCGCGAGGGCTTCATTGCGACTGACATGACCGAAGACGCAGGGGTCGCCGACCGCATTATCGCCTCCATCAAGCGCTATCCGCTCCCGATTCACGGCGTCTTCACCGTGTCTGACAATTTTTTCGTCACAGCTGCCCGCGTCGCCGACGCCCTCGGCCTCTCCACGAACCCCGTTTCCGCCTTCGAAACCTCGGTTGACAAGTACCGCTCTCGCCTCCTGCAAGACGCACCAGGCCACACCGCGCGGGTAACCAGCGTCGAGGAGCTGAACACCCTCCTAACCGCCCCCGCCAACGGCAACGCCGCCTTCACCCCCATCTACCCGCTCATCGTCAAGCCCACCAAAGGCTGGTCCTCCGAATGCGTCAGCAAAGTCTCCACCCCCGCCGACCTGGCCCTCGCCGTCCAAAAAGCCACCTCCCGCCACGGCAGCGCGGCCGTCATCGAGCCCTTCTTCGACGGCCCCGAAATCGACGCCAACTTTGTCCTCCTCGACGGCGAGATCCTCTTCTGGGAGGTGGCCGACGAGCCCCCCTGCCAGGCCGACCGGCGCGACGCCAGCGTGCAGGACACCTTCAGCCCGGAGGCCCTGACCCTGCCCAGCGCCCTACCCGAGCGCGAGCAGGCCGTCGTCCGCGACACCCTCCGCGACCTGCTCGTGCGCGCCGGCTTCCGCACCGGCGTCTTCCACGTCGAGGCCCGCGTCGTCCACTCCGCCTGCGAGTACCGCGACGTCGGCGGCGGCGTGGTCGACCTCGCGCGCAAGGACGGCGGCGGCGCAGACACGGGCGATAAGGTCGCCTGCAAGCTGATCGAGATCAATGCGCGCCCGCCGGGCTACCGCGTCAGCGTGCCGTCGCGCCACACGTACGGCGTCGACTTCTTTGCGCACATGCTGGCCGCGTAGGCGACACGACGCCTGCGCTGACAGCCGGCGTTTGACACCACGTGGGTGAGGGCAGAACCAGGGGTGCGCAGTACTGGTCGCCCTGGGTGTATGTCCCCGCGCCCAAGGCCGGGCGCATGCGCTGGGCGGCTGCGTCGGGGCTGCCCCTGTGTGAGGAGCTGAAGAGGCGGCGGCCGGATCTGGCGGAGCGGATTGTGGTGGCGGTGGATTATTGTGTCCCCCGGGGAGCGGGTCGCGCTGTATACGGACGGGGCGAGGACGTATGTCGCGCATTTTTTGGTGTGTAGTCGGGTGAGTAGGAAGGACGCGATTGAGGTGGGGGAGGAGGTGTTGAGGGCGTTTAGGATCGAGGTGGATGAGGATTGATGAGGGGATGGATGGATGGATGGATGCTGGGGAGCGTGGGAAGTGAGTGGAGTCTGCCAGTTGAGCGTCATGGACTTTCCTCGTATTACAGTCGTACTTGTTTTGCCATTTACGGCGCTGTCTTGGGTTTGGGGGGGGGGGATGTGGGAACACGGATATGGAGTTAGGTTGACTTGACATGATCGTTTTCTATGCACCAATACAGTAGACCTTCGTACTCAGATTGGCTGCGTTATTTAGTTACTTGCTAGATGGTAGAGATTAGACCAAGGAATTTACCAGTGAGACAGTTCATCGTTTGTGCCATAGTGGCTCCAATTTGCTTAACGGTGTAGGCGGGTACCTAGGTAGCTGGTGGGATCGTGTTAGTACATGATGGATGGTAAGGCACAATGACGTTATCTCTATAAAACAAGGGTGTATTTGGGTTTATTTACTCTTCTCGAAGTTGTCCCAATGAAGATTAATATGAGGTACCTAGTTCTGTAGTTCGATTCCGCTAAAAACCTAGGTAGGTATCTTAGGTCCCTTAGTTCAACGGACTATATGCCAGTATCGACTACCTGCCCATTTCGAACTGATGCATCCGCCAATATTCGTTTTTCCTGTGTGATCTAAGTTATCATGTCGCCTTTTTTGATTCAGGGCCGTGCCCTCTCCCCAGCTGAAGACACCCAGGCCAGTGTGCGTCTAGCTTTGCGAAGCCTCGGGAGAGTCGAGACTCACGTTTCGGACTAGGCCCGACGGGGTTATGTTGCTGGGGGGGCTCCAAGCTCCGAAACGATGGAAGGATATAGGGCGGCTCCAGCCTTGGGAACTCTTTGGAGGCCAACTTCGCCGTCAATATCTTCGCCCACAAACGCCGTGGAACCATCCGCTGCTCTGGATCATCGTCTCCCGATAGCGTCTGGCGTATTTGTCTTAAGAGGGTCAACGCCCTTCCTTCGCTCTTCTGAATGGTATACTCATACCACGCATCGGTTGCAAAGTCAACATAACCAAGGAAGCCAAAACCGACGAAGTTGCCTTCCTTGTCCAGTACGATGATGCAAGGGTCCATTCCCATTCCGAAACCAAATAGGAATGTTTGACGAGAATCCTTTTTATCCATGGTGAAGACTCTGTGTACCGTCTTCTTGGACATCTCTACGACGGCGTCTACCACCTGGTCAGCAACTTGGGTGCAGACCCGTGTTAGTTCAGCATATTGCTCAAGGAGACGCAGAGTCGATAGTCCACTTGCCGTTACTGGGGAATGGCTTCAGCACATCCCATAATACCTGATTGAGAGTGCGCCCTTGGAGTTGGACTATAATGGTGCACTCTCAACGACGGTGTTTTTTGTGGTAGATCAGCGGAGAAATGACCGGCCGCATGGCGGTAACGAAATCCTATATCATAGGCAATGGTGTATCATTCGAGGTCGAATACGTAGGGTCCTCGTACTATCTGTCAATTATAACCCTGGGTGCCCCCTCATGCGAGCGAAAAAAGTCGTCGTTCTCGTTCCCGCTCCACTCGTACCACCATGGCTCGGGCTCAGCACGCAGAACTTCCCAGACGGCGAAGTAATGTCCTTCATGCTCCTACGTGGCCTTGAGCACTTTCCCCTCTAGCTGGGTGTCAAGAGGCTGGCGTGATCGTCTGAAGGTCCACAATCCATTAATCAGTTCATCCACCCCATCCCACAAACGCGTGGTCTGGTTCATGATTGGGTGGCGACCTTGATATACCGTTAGCTACGTGATTAACGTAGTTTACGTTTTTGACTTCTGTCACTGTGCTATACGCTACGCTAACTGGGCTGGCGAGGAACCCTAGGTACCTATTTACAATCGTTCAGGGCGTCTAACCGGTTTATTAAGTAGGACCGAAGGGATACAAAAGAACGAATGGTTACAGTTTGAGCCCTATTCCAGGTACGGGCAGGCTTTATTGGCAGGATGTAGTTCAGGGAGCTACAAAGAGGTCTCGCAACAATGAGGTGCGAGACCTACACTCCGCGGGGTCTTGATTGATAGATGAGACAAAGACGTTGCACCGCATGCACTCGCACTCGATAAAACTCAATGACACTTGGGTCGTGGTTCAAACAAGGCTCGACGTTTACGGGGGGACTATGGTGTTTCTTACGACCATGCAGAAAGGTCCCTGGCAGCGGGATCGAAATCATTCCCTAGGCGGTATACCTGCTCAGCGGTCTGGCCAGTCAACACAGGTCGAGACTCAAAGTTCCAATCGGATGGCACCGATCCTGAATTCGGCTCCGCTGTCAACGGATCGGTTCCCGCGCGTGGTTGATTGGGCAGCGGGACAACGCCGAGAAAGGATTAGGAGTTGACTCTGCATTAGCCCCTGAAGTGTGATGATCTGCCGGCTTTGGTAGGAGGTTAGCAATCTGTTCCTTGGAATGGAGCAATGTTATCACCGCTCTGTGACGTCGCCGTAGGAACGTCATACACTGCCTACATGTAGGAATACTGTCTGCGCCAAGCATTGGCACTCATCACCAAGGTATCTGGCAAGCTTTGAGAGCCATCGTAGTTCCCCGGGCCCTTCAAAACTAGTGCGATGTTTCTGTTTCAACTTGTTCATCGTTACCTACATGTACTCATCCCATCAATCGTCTACCTCATCAAGTAACAAGTTGGCCTTCTCTTATATCTCCGCTAATACATCATCAACCAACATGCGCCCATTCTCCGTCGTTTCCCTTCTAGTTGCCACCACGGCAGCGAAGAAGGCCATTCCATCACTGTGGGATAGCCAATGTTTTTACCCCCAGGGTGATCCCGGCTTCGAACTTGACTCGTATCTTGGGCGCTGGTATCAGGTCGCCGGCACTATCGCCCCATTCACTGCAGACTGCAAGTGCATTTTTGCCGAGTATGAGCTGAACGTGAGTTGGGAATCTAACCTCATCAGTTTGGTTAGCCTATGGGCTATCTGACTCGTTATCTAGGACAACGGCACCGTCCAGGTGAACAACACGTGCCAAGCTGGGAACAAGCCCGTCAGTATCCTCGGAACTGCAACTCCTGCCGATCCCGAGTACGGACCGGCCGGTGTTTTCCGCGTCCAGTTCCCCCGCGGAGGGCCACCGGACTGCCCTGGGCCCAACTACATCGTGCAGGGTGCGTTCCGATACCTCCTTTTGCCCCCACCTGACAGAGAGGTCACGGAGATACTGAGTGACTATCGAAAATAGACTACAGCGTTGAGTTCGCCTTGGTTCAGTCCAACAACTTTACCACGCTCTTCATTCTGAGCCGTCAGCAACATCCCGAGGAGAAGCTGATCGATGTAAGTCACCCTACCCTAGTTGTTCCGGGCATGTGAGTAGACCGTTAACTCAGCCGGACAGGCCTGGATTGAGCGGGCGGGCCTGCTTGGTACCAACCTTACCGACGTAGTCAAGACTGATCAATCTGACTGCCTGTTTATATAATGATGAGGTGTTACGAGATTCCGCTGTTACGATACGCGGCCTATCGACGGTCCTGTAAACAGTAGTTCATCATGTATTACAATCAGTGATGTAAAGGGGTGTAGGGGGGCCAATTCTGAGCTATCTTCGCTTCCTGGCAATCCATGATGCCCCATGCGCCCCCCGTGCTCCTGGCGAACGGGGCGTTGAGACGAGGTGCACATACCTTCAACCCGACGTTGGGCGATGCCGCGGCATAACCAATTCCCCACCGCCAAACACAGCCACCCCCCAGGTATTCTAGGTCCCATTATGGACAAATGTGAGGCATATTATGAGAGTTAGGCTTCCGACAAATGGCTTTAGACAATAAGTGAAGGCGATGATATCTGATGTGTGAAAGTGAAAGGAAAATCTGTTGTCAAGACCAGTAGTTAGAACGCATTCGAGCTTTGTTTGGCAGTATGAGTGGATGCGCTCGAAACGTTCCATGCAGCAACTCATGTTTCTTGGGCCGCCCATTCATCTTTGATATTTTCTTACCCTACGCGGATTTTCAAGTCGCTGATCAAAGGCACGCAAAGACATGCAACCAACCTTCATACTGTAGATGACCTGGGCCTACCACTTCACCTCGGCCACTAATACAGAGCAGCAGGAGACCTGGCGGATAGGATAGTTAACGAAAAAGGCGACAAGGATCTAGCCAACGACAGTTATGACCTAGGCGTGAGGCTGAGGATTTACCTACAGTCGGCTACGTCGTCCTAGTCGAGACTCTACATGCGCCGGCCGTCAGAACAACACAGGAGGCGAACACTATACCAGCTCGCCATGCCTCATCTGTTCCATCGGGCAAGCTGTCCCAGGGAACAGTTCACCGCCTTCCCTGTGCCTTGTAAAGATTCGGCTGTATCTGATATGAATACTTGCCTCGCTAGGTACCTAGGTAGGCAGGAAGCAACAGCCTCGGGGGCTGGCGAGGTGTGCATACGCTGTGCATTACTTAACATGGGCACTGGGGGCCAAGTGCTAGGTACTACAAAAACTTTTAAGACCTATGTTTGAGGCCCATTGAAAAACACGGGGCACTGTACAGAGCTGCCTACCCGTGTTCAGCATTCCCAAACCTCTCCGAAATTATATCTCGAGACGTGACTCTAGTGACCCCGTGACTAAGTAAAGATGGAGAGAGGAGCATCCAGTGTCGGATGGGGAGCATAATTCAACTGCCTATATAATAGCATTGCGACTCTCCGCGGTCTCTCCTTTTCCAATGTTGGTCCAAAAGGAGTGAATATCCCGGCGCGGGTCGAAGTGCACGTCCTGGTGTGCGGTTAGGGCTAGGAATAAGAATAATTATGGAGTAACTCGTGTGTAGCTTTTTATGTCTTGCGTCCGCCAGGTCTGCTTGCTTTCGAATGTGTCCAGTCTGGTGCTTCTTATCCACTCCCACAGTGTGAAGCTACTTGTCTAGATATGGGTAACCCTGCTCGACAAACGTTAAGGCATATGCGAGTCCCAACAACGCTGCCACTATATCTCAAGGAGAGCGGTTGCAAGCATTGGACCAGGCCCGCTTAACCGCCCCAAGAAATCAGTACAACGGCACCGCTTTGTCACATACCGGTGATCCTAAAGCTAACCCGGAACTTACAAACGGAGGTTCTTAAAACGGTAACGAAACCCCGGAAATCAGGATCACCTGAAGCGAGGGAGTCAAGCGTCGCCAATTCCTCTCTCTGTTTGAACTCCAGTCGGCATTGGAGAAAGAATTTCTATACATGCCGAGTATAATTATAATATACACAGCTTGGCTCAATATACTAACCATCACCTCACCCACCCCTCGCCCCCACTTTCCTCCCTCCCACAGACCCCACTGTCCTCTCACCCCCTAAGGCCGTTCAAGACCGATCCCTTGCCCGGTTCCATCCTGACTCTCGGCAACCTCCTACAACACCGTCGTATCCTCGTGCATACCTGTAGGATGAACAGGATCACCGTGTAACTCGGCCGGGTCGAGTTGCTGTGGTACTTGTCCTCTCTGCGCGTTCTCGGCATCCATTTCAATGATCTTAGTTCCCCCTGCCTCCTTGGGCGGGATTTCGCCGTCGGCGGCTAGCTCTGCCTTTTCGAACCGCTCGACGCCCGAAGTCTGGGCTGCATGTCTTCGGCGCCACAGGAACCAACCTAACAGCGCGAGCAGCGCCGCTGCAAGCACCACGCCGACGCCGATGCCCGCTTTTGCGCCCGCAGACAAGCCAGATCTGCTTGAGGGTGGGGCCGGAGGTAGGCTGTCTGTAGAGCTGGGGATAGCTGAAGAGGTCGCCGTCGTCGCCGCCGTCATCGTCGTCGTTGTCATCGTCAAGTTCGGCGGCAAGACGGCGAACATGCCGCTGGTCGCCATGACGGTTCCGTTGGCAAGGTTGTCATCCAAGGTCACGTTGGTCGCCGAGAGCCAGTATCAGGCGCCGTCGGTGCCCTTGAAATCGACAGGGACAGGCCAAGTCCACATCATGTGGGTATAGCCACATACGTCAAGGCTGGTCCAGTATGGCGATTCGTCGACCTTGCGAAACTTGTCCACAGAGACGCGAGAGTCAACTGCGGAGGTATCAGCATAAAGTACCTACCGTGGCTAGAGGCTAGGCAGCGGGGCGGAGAGGTAGGAAAGAAGGGGGGAAGACATACGGATCGTCACGCTCGGGGCCCCAGACGTCCCCTGTAGCACCACTGTAACGGCTATGGCAGGCTGGTTCCCGTCTGAGAAAGGCACCTTCCCGGCAAACCAGTCCATGGCTACCGCGTCGCCAGCGTGGAACGTGCTGTTCGCCTTCGGCTCCACGAAGGCATTCTCCCAGCGACCAGGACCCTCTACGGCGCACGCCGGTACGCCACCTCCCGGGCCGCCGCTCATGGTGTATGAATCGTAGCTCCAAGTTGCCGCTCCCGTTGATGAATTGATGCATGTCCCTCGAGAGGCCCTGTCAGAGTCGCCGCTACGATGCCCAGAATCACGGCAGCGAGCCTGATCAGTCTCACGACGCGGGGAACCTTGTTTTTTTTTTCAGCCCTGGCGCGATGTGCTATTATCTGACTGGCGCAAACTCGCACAACAAATCATGCACCCCAACTCATGCTGTGTAACAACCTACCCTGACATATTTGGGATAACAAGCCACCGACCTGAAAAGGCGCAGCCTTGTCGCAAGTAAATAATGTAAATAATGCCAGGCTAAACCGAAAGGAGGACAAGTGGAGGGGGCAAAGCTAGCCGGCTTGGTGAAGGAAGAGACGCTGAACCGCCCCAAGCCTTTCCTCGTTCTCTCAATCAGGACAAGCAAACATGGAGGACATAGGCTTTAATTCGGGTGCGGATATGAACTTATGTAGGAAGACGGCCATGTCAATACCTCAATTCGCAATCTGTAGGATTCCCGACTGTGTAAACATTCATCGTAGGTAAGGTAGTCTCCGATCTCTCTCCCTGCACCCTTACCCCTGACTCCCCCATCCACCACCACCAACAACAACAACAACAACAACAACAACAACAAAAACAACCCCCCCTTTCCCCTCTCAACCCGCCAACCCATCCGCCAACATAGCATCAATCAACAAACAATGCCTCTCCGCATTCGTCTCACTCCACTCATTATCATAATTCAACCCATACGGCCAAATATGCCCCCCGCCACAATTGATCTTCGCCCCCTGCCCATCCCACGACTGCAGCAGCCTCGTGGCCCCCGGCCAGTTATTCGCTGCGCACCTCTCATCAAACGCGCGCGTCTGGCCGATGCCCAGGGTATGCGAGATCTCGTGCAGGGCCGTGCGCTCGTTCATGTACGCGCGGTTGGACCCGAACCGGATGTTGCCGTTGAAGTTGCCGTCGGCGGTCGCGACCGAGGGGACATATTGGGCTGTGAGGGCCTTGTTGGCGCGCGGGGCGAGTCGGTTGTAGCGGGCGACGGCGGCCGACATGGCTGATTGGATGCGCTGGTAGGCGTCGTTTTGGTCGCTGGTGGGGTTGCCGGCGCGTTGGAGCGTGAAGGTTAGGGTTGCGCTGGTGAGGGCGGCGAAGGCCCAGAGGAGGGTGAGGAGGACGCGCATGGCGGCGGTGGGCCCTGGGGGTGGTTGTGATGAGGAGAAAGGTGGTGGTGTAGACTCCCTGCTTCTGTATAAAGTGGCTATACTCTGGCCTCTTTATAGTCTGCGAACTACCACCTAAGCATACTTGGGGAATTATGGATACGGCGGCGGCATTAATACCACATAGACAATCCAAACGACCGACCGAACCTGGATTCGTGGAAATTCAGGCGAGGTTGCTGCTTTAGGCTAATTCCCCGTCTGCCGTGGCCGCTTTGTTTCGCGCGCATCCTGGTTTCTGGGGTGCATGAAATCGACGTGACATTGACGATGGAGATGGGTTGTACTCGGTGTTGACCCTCCGGCTGGGCAGCAACGGAGAGTATTGGTTTATGTTTGTGAGATATTGTAATACCCACCAGCCAATGGCCCCGAAACCTAGCATAGTAAATAACGAAACCAGGTAAACAATGAAACTGCCCAAACTCCAAAGCCCAAGCCAAGCCATCTTTGATGATCTTTCCCACCCCCCTCGAACTCCATTCTATGACCTATGACCCCCCATGATGCATACAACCCCCACCCCCCTCTCTCCCCTTACAACATCGCCCTCGCCACCACAAACAACGCCTCGGCCCTCGCCAGCACCACCCCCTCCCCATCCTGGACATCCGCCTCCGTCCAAAACTTCCTCCCTTCCCTCCTGACCACCCTTGCCGTAACCATCACCACCCCCGGTTCCTGCACCGTCCCCGTCCTCGCCGCCTTCAAAAACCGCGTATTCAGATACACCGTCATCACCGGGACGTCCGCCAACAACCCGTGCCGCTGGTTCGCCACAAACACCTGCGCCATCGTCTCGTCCATCAGCGTGCTCACCACCCCGCCGTGGCACACCCCGTCCCAGCCGTTGAGCATGGGGCCTAGCGCGGCGAACGCGCGGACGCGGGTGATGAGGGGTTCGGGGCCGAGGGGGTTGTTGGGGTCGGCGGTGGTGGTGGTGGTGGTAGAGGGGCAGGGGTGGGGGGGGGTAGAAGTTGAGGAGGGCGATGAGGGCGCCGGGGGCGTTGAGGGTGTGCGAGAAGTAGACGTCGCCGGGGAAGCGGGAGCGGCGCTGGGTGAGGGAGGGGCCGATGGCGAGTGTGTGGGGGTAGCCGGAGAGGTGGGCCGCGCACCAGGGGATGGCTTGGAAGAGGGCTAGTTGCTGGTCGGCTTCGGGGGTGGTGGCTGGTTGGAGGATCATTTTGGTGGTTGAAGTCTGAACACGTCTGACGGTTGGGGCGGATGGGGTGAGGGTTGAGTTCGTAGGTAAGGTAGGTAGGTAGGTGGTTAAACTTATTGGGGGGGACACAGGGGATGGAGATGGGGTTGAAATAGATTCAAGGGTTTGGGGTGTTGGAGTGCAGTGGCTTGTTCCAATTTGCATTGCAATCATGTTGATTTTTGTATTCATTTCCATTTTTTCTTTTGGAAGGGATGAGCTGTTGGGCTCCCCTTCTCACGCACCCAAGACTGGACATGGCGGTGAATGCGGTGGGAGTGAAACCTATGGGGTGAAATGTCTTGGTTTCTGTTTGAGTTGTCCTGGAGGTATCTTGGTGTCTTGGAGGTGTCTTGGGAGGTGACTGTAATGCCAGCTGTGTCTTCCACTTATTCGCTGCTAGCGAGCGGCGATCTCGGCAGGAGGCCCATCGACAGCTCCGGTGCTGACTCCCACAAATCGGACTTCAGAATTCGAGGCTTGGCATCTGTATAAGGAAGGGAATGCCGGACCAGCAACAACAAACATTTCTTATTTTGAGACAATCACCGACATTTCCGCCTTCGAGGCTCGCCGTAGAGCAGAAGCCAACTCGAAAGACATCAACAAATGGAAGGAGATCCCGCCCGGCGACGAATAGTCGACCGCCGAACTTCACGCCGCACGCCTCGTAGTGCGTAGCAAGGGGACAGGGTCAAACCACATACTGCCCGCTCTCCGGATCGAATCGAACAAGGTAAAACAGGCTCACAGACAGGAACAGATCCGAGCGCTGCTGAAAGGCCCCCAAATACCATGGAAGCCACGTACCCGAACAGAGCTGGCCCACCCCCACGGAGACGGCCCCGGGCACCTGTGGGCGCTTTTGGCCCGCTTCCGAGGGTGGCGAGATTGGATATGACGGACTGTGTGGAGCTCTGGGCGACGCCGTGGTTTAGCCTCAAGAACGAGACCAAACGCCGCAAAGCGGTCGACAACATCGCAGCCTTGATCACTCCCCAACGTTGGAAGCTGACATGTAAATTGTTGGCGTATAGTGTATTAGTTGATTGGAAATTAGCGGTTTTCTACAGTGACCTTAAACAGTGACATAACGACAAGTATTATCCCAGGCCGGTTCGGAGCGAGACCTTACCGGATGACGGCCGTGGCCAGAACCAGTCCAAAATCATGTACAGTGATTAGGTATTCTGCATCTATCCTGTCTATCCCCCTATTATCCACTGACTCCATGGAGCTCCTTCGACCTCACCCCAGCGGAAAGTTCCCAATCGCGCCATCCTCACCGCCATCAAACAACGAATTTGTCCCGTCCAAAGCCGCAAAGTGATCGGCATACCGCAGCCCTTTCCTCCGCTCCGCCTCTATCCTCTTCCAATCCCACTCGCTCTCCGCCCCCGCATTTTCCAGCTCCTCCAAATCCCCCAAATCCTCGGGCGTGCCCGTGCCCGTCTCACCCCCCGTCCACCCCTCCCCAGGCCTCTCGGGCAGCATCTTGGCCGCCTCAATCACCAGCGCGGGGTGCACCGTAAACCGCCCGAGCTTGAACACGTACTTGCTGACGGCCGTCGCAATCACGTACTTGGCAAAATCGTCCGGCAGCTGCTGCTGCCCGTTGGCACCACCCCCTTGCCTGGCCGTCCTCTTGCCCTTCCCGTTCCACCCCCCGTTCGGGCGCACCTTGCCCTTGACCACAAAGTGCGTCACCACATACAGCCACTTGCGGTCCCACGCCAGCACCCGGCTCCACATCTCGTAGCCCTGCAGCGGCGCGATCTCCTTGCGGAAGCTGCAGAACACCGCCCCCAGCCCCACCCCCAGGCTGCCCTTGACCAGGACGCCTTGCTTGTCGCGCACGAGCTTGTTTTTCGCGTTGGCCGCGATGATGGGGAGCCCCGGCCCGAGGAGGTGGGTCACCAGGTGCGAGCGGCTGACGTCCAGGTCCGCGAAGTAGGTCGAGTTGCTCTTGTGGATGTTGTAGTCGGTCTCGAGGAGCGAGGTGCGTGAGGTGGTGATGCTGTATTGGAAGAGGGCGCGCTGTGGGGAGTGTCTTGGGCCCGTCGGAGTGCGTGGTAGATGAAGGAGTGGCAGGACGCGCATTCTGGGAGGGGGGCGTGGGGGGCGTGATCACTACCCTA